GTGGCATAAGCAGAGGACACAAGAGAAAAAGTGATGGGCCCTGCTGTCTTGAATTTGGGAGGCCCCCCCCTACCATGGCTGAACACGGAACTCAGGGGAAAAGGCACAACTCAGGGGAAAAGGCACAGTCTAGTAGCCCCTGGCCTCCAAAAGCATTGGCAGGGAACATTTTAAAATTCAAATAGCTTGCCAACTGAAAACCTGGAGATTTTACCTAAAATGCAGATTCTTGGTGTCTCTATTTAAAATCCTAACTCGCTCCCCTTCCCTCTGCTCCATTTTGCCATAGCATCTAAGTAAGAACCTTCTATAGAATATGTGCTTAATTACTTATGTTTTGTGCAGTTTTCTTCTCCCCTCCATCCCCTCTCCTCCTGGGGATGTACCCGGACTGGAGGTTGGGGTTTTTGCTTTTATTTTGTTTTGCTTCCTTTACTAAAGTACTTCAAACACTTATCCAGTGTCTAGCACATAGTAGGAATTCAAGAAGTATTTTAATAAATTGATAAAGAAAGTGGCCAGTTCTAATGTGTCCCACACTAATGTCTATCCTGGGGTCGGGGGACGGGGGCAGGGCCAGGCAGGAGGCCTCGGTTTTCCTTTGTCCCAGCCCACGGGAGCCCCTCCGGTGACTGGCTTGGCTGCGGGGACAAAACCAGATTTGAGGCAAAAAAAGAAGCAAACGAGAAACTGGAATTTGCTTTAGCAGGTAGGCTCCACGCGGCTCCCGGCAGGCTCTGAGTTCCAGGCTCCAAGTCATGCCAACTCCCGCCTTCTCGATTTTCCACTTTAGTTTCACCTCCCTGCGCAGGGATCAGGGGAGAGCCTGAGCTTTGCCCTGGGGGCGGGGTAGGGGTGGGGGTGGGAGGTGCCAGGGTGAAGCGGGGGTGGGATGGAGAGGATGTTGGAGACATCTCCACCAGAGGGCGCCGGAGCTCAGCCGGCGCGCTCTTTCTCCTCTCGCAGCCAGCCAAGGCTCACCAGTTCCGCGATTACCCGCCCGGCTCTCCTGAAAAGAAGTGGGGTCCCAGGAATGCCTGAGGACTGGCTTGCCCACTGGAATGTTAGTTCCTTAAGGGCAGGGACCAAGCCACTGCGTTTCCCGGCTCTACGCCCAGTGCCCAGCAGTGGGCTCGGCTTGGAGTGAATGAATGAATAAATGTTAAGTTCACGGTGCATCTAATCGGGCGTAAAAGTAGTTTCGGAAAGACACTCATCCTCACCACCGGAGTCCAGGAGTTCTTGCAACTTCCTGCTGACTGCGGCCCTTGGCTGGAGCTGCTGAGCCCAGGCCCCGCCGGCCCCTGCCCATGCCCCCGTGGCCCTGACTACCTGACTGCTGAGGGAGACAGACCTGTCCCCGCCACAGCTCCTTGGATGCGTGCGAGGATAGAATCCACTCCAAGGTCTAGCCATGCCAGTAAGCGGGAGGTGGCTGGAGCGTCCTGTGGTCACTAATGAAGTCCCAAATCGTGCTCCTCTCACCCCTGGGCCGCCTGCCTGCACCCCTCCCTGGCTCGGCTAGGGCGGTTTCAAGGTTGGGGCGCGGCCTGCCAGGAGTTCAGACACCAACCAGGGACGACTCTGTGGGTGTCGTTTTCTGGACCAGAAAGGCCCACGCCAGGAGGACTGCCCTGGGGTAGAAGGGAGAGGGGGAAAGGGGGAGTTCTCACAACACTTTGGGTCAACACTTTGGGTCGCGCGCAGGGCATTCATTGGGAGAGGGAGAAAATGCAGAAGCTTAAACAATTATTCTAGCTTCCATTTATTGAGTACTATGTGCCAGACTCAAGGGTGAGCACTTCACACCTGAGTGAGGAGTGCCAATCGTTTCCCCCAGTTACACTGTGATCAGCCCATTTCACTGTTGAGAGAACAGAGGACAGAGACCTAAGTCAATTCACGTTTGCTTAGAATTCACGTTGAATTCAGCCGGCAGCCGGCAGAGCAGACTATTTTGCTGCCGCGGCGCATCATTCTATTTTAGAGTCGCAATTTTACAAGTGAGGAAACTGAGGCTTGGCTACCAATGATGGCGTTGGCTTGAGATGGCAGTCGCGCGGACTGCCCGGACTGGTCTCCTTCCCTTAGGCCTAGTTTGCGGGGTACCCAGCGCAACGCGAGCCTGGCCCGGTGGTCACCTCGAGCTTCTAGACTCCGAAAACGGGACACCCTTGGCTCGGCACACATCGACTCGTTTGGTTCCCTTTGGTCCCCCTTCAGTTCCCGCCTCTGGGACTCCATCTCTCCACCTGCTCAGTGGGCACAATAACCAACGTTTAGCCGAGCCTCCCTGCGCGGCTGCGCTCCTCGCTGCAGGTCGAGCCCTACGGAGCAGGGCCCAGCGGAGAGGAGAAGGTCAGAGGCCCAGGCACACCGCAGCCCCTGGAGCATCCCGGGCGCGGAGAGGGCGGGAGGGGACGGGACGGGCGGCGGTGTGGGAGGGGGACGCGCGCCGGAGCCCCCCGCGGCCTCCCGGCGGCAGCTCCAGGCCCGCCCCTCGCCGCGCGCCCCGCCCCGCCCCGCCCCG